GGCGTGCCCATCACCTCGGGGGGCTTTGACTTGTCCGGCTTGGGCAGCCGCTCCTGTGGCAGAAGGTGCCCGCCCTGCTGAAGCCACTGGCCGTGGACCTGGAAAAATTCTTCCATGAGCCACGAACACGTTGCTGGATCACCTGACCAAGCTCAGCTCCTCAAGCAAATGCTGACAGCTGGAGGCAATCCTGGGTTTTCCGAAAACAGCTCATGTCTCTTTTTCATTTCCTCTATTTCCATTTTCTTCCCTTCCCTCCCCTCCCCTCCCTTCCACCTTCTTTTTTTTTTTTTTTCTCCCCCTTCTCCTGCTATGGGCAATGAGGCTTTTGAGAACCAACACAATCCCTGCTACAAGGAAGACACTGGCCCTGCATACACTCCAACAAGGGACTGGATGAATCCTGTAGTCTGGAGCCTCTGCTCAGTGTGACGTCATTTTCCTCTGTAAACATTCATTAAAGATTTCTGCATCTCATTTCAGCTTTTGATTTTTCTTTCTATCGTGTATAGTCTCCAGAGCAGCCAAGGGAGAATGGTTCTGCTCTTGGTTGGTATAAGATGGGTGTTTAAGGAGACCATTCTCCATTCCCAGAAGAATGGGAGGCTGTGACACACTGCAGAGGCTACTCTCTTGGACGCTGCCCCTTGCAGCTGAACAAGATATCCCTGGCGATGGCAGACCTGTGCCTGAACACAGCTGTATTTACATCTTCACACTCACAAAGGCACATGCAAAAAATGCATGCACAGAAGTAGAAGCTCATGTACTCTTCAGGTACATGTGAGCACCTGTCATCCACACTCACATCAAGCACAGACACGGCCGAAGAGGCGGGCGCTGAGGTCATGGGGAGCTGACTGAGGAGACTTTTGTGGCAGGGCAAGGCTGCAGTGCTGTGAGCAGATAAAGGCTCCTGATGAGCTGCCAGCACACTTTGCAGATGTGCAGGGCAACCCAGTGAGAGGAGTCCTAGGAGGTCAAGCAATTCCTCCATAGGGCAGCAGGATGAGGAACAGAAATGAAACCCAGTAGTCCAGCCCACCTCACTGTTGTTCTTGCTTTATGGTTTTTGTTCTTGGCATTCCACATCGTGACTTCATGCAGAGCACTGGGACTCAAAGAGTTACTGCTGCCGTCCTGTGGATTGCTGACAGTGCCTCAATACCTGAGTACCTGAGATGAGAAGAACTACAGCTCCCAGAGCACTTCACCATTGTGTTTCTGTTTTCCATTCAGAAGGAAAGATAAAACTGCTTGGGAGTGCTGGGATGTCTTTCCGATCATCTCCGTGGTGTGTGCACCCTAGCCATCTCCCCTTCAGCATTAGAGCAAGATCTTTTTTTTTGTACACTGTCCTTTTTTCATTTATTTGATTTATTCACTTCCATTCCAATGATAATGTACCACATTGTGTTACCTTGCATTCCACTAGGATATTTCCTCAATTTGTTTCCTCACTAGACACATTGCAGAAGTTCTGCTTTCAGGCCCCTCTCCTTCCTGGTTCTCATATGTGGTGTGTTGGGGAAGGAGGAGAGGATAGAAGATGGGACAGAATTGTGAGAATGTCCGTCTGGTGTCAAACAGCCCATGCTGTCAGTCCTGCTGTTCCCCACAAATACATGGCGTGCAGCCCTGCCACAGACCCAGCTGAGTTTGATTCGATTTGGGATCAATGAATCACGGCTGCTATGGGTGCAGCGCTCGTTTCTGTGGAGACCTCAGGGCGGCGCACCCCGGTCAGGATGGAGTTTGGCGGCCATGCAGGCAGCGCCCCCTGCGGGCCCGGACGGCACTGTGCCCCCGCCCCGCCCCAAGCGGTTCGTGCCCGGCCGCAGCCCCGGCTTCGCTTCCCGTGCGCCCACGGCGCAGTAATACAGCGCCGCGTCCCCGAGCCGGGGCCGGGCGAGACACAGGGCGCTGGAGCGGCGGTCTGCCGACACCCACAGCTGCCCCTCCGGGTCCGGCACCTCTTTGGAGCCTTTGAAAGCGCTGACGAGGAATGAGGGAGCTCGGCCCGGGAGCTGACGGTACCATTGGATGTTGTCGTCGGTCTGTATGTTGGGGTGTGAGCAGGTGATGTTGATGCCGGTGCCCTCGCTGGTCTCTGCCGCCGGTTCCTGCTGCACCTGGGCTCTGCTCACAGCCACTGCCGAGAAGAGAAGCAGCAGCAAACTCAAAAAATCCATTTTCTCTCCCAGAAATTTCATGAAGGAGGAGAGAGAGGTGCACGAGGTCAGAAAGATGCTAATCGTACAGAGGCGTTCGCGGCCCCTTCCCCCCGCAGCCTCGCAGTGCGGCCCCGCCGGCGGCAGCCCCGCGCACCCAGGAGCACCGCGGCCAGCCCCGCCAGCCCCGCGGCCCCGCACTGCCGCATCCCGCCGCTGCGCCGCCCGCGCCGCGCTGCCCCCGCCAGCCCCGGCTCTGCTCCGCCCGCGCCGTCTCCTCCCCGCCGCCGCCGCCAGCTCCGCCCCGGGCTGCTCCAAACCGCTTCGCTCTGTTTCTGTCTCTTAGTTGCATCTGAAGACATTTGCTCCGAAGCACGTTGTGGAGGAAAGAGTGAATGGATTCCATCTCGTCTGTCGTTCCCCAGATCCACTTTCTTCCTCCGTCTAAAGATGTGTTTCATCAGTGTTGTTCTTTCCTTGCTATGAGGGCCATTCCTCAATGTCATGACTCCTGAGAAATATCAGAGAGCAGCATCACAATGACATCTATCAATCACATGCCCTTGAAGGCAGCCCATCTCGAGGACACAAGCATGTCCATCTGGATGAAGTGCTCATAAGGTTTTGTTCCTCTTTTGGGAGTACTGGTATGTTTCTATGATGTCCGTGAATAAGGATCAGGGATTTTGTAGGTCCTACTAAAAGAGTTGGAATGAAAATGGAGGAAAAAGAAGCATTAATGATGTCACATTGACATTTACTTAAATGACATTACAGGACATTTACTTTTTACTACTTTGTCCATCTTTAACATCTCTTCCAACACAAACCATACTATGGTTACCTTTTTTGCACGCAGAGTGTGTGCACAGTGCAGATAAACATACTTGCTTTTACAACTACACTGTTGTTATGGAGTTTGATTGCATAAGACAATTAGCTTCTCCAGAAAGGGCCACTCTGGGAAGGTCCACTCTGCAGGGAATTTGGGCAAATGACAGAGAACAAAGAAGCAATCTGCATGGGACTGCAAAGAGGCCACAGTCTCCTTGGTCACTTTTCATTCTCTCAAGCCACAGCCATCGGTCCCTGCCGGAAGAGGACGCTGGGCTGCAGATCTCTGTGTGCACAGCGAAGCAGCGCTGCCAGGAGAGCTGAGGGCCCCTTCCCCAGAGCTCCGCCTCCAGCACACACACCTCCTCCCTCCCTGGGGTTGTTGCACGGCCAAGGAAGCTCCCTGCACCAGGGTGTCCTGCACAGCACAGAGGTACAAGGCGCTGTCAGACAGCTCGACTTCTGCCAGCCGCAGCAGGCTGTATTTCCCGGTGGTGTTCAGCCACGTGGTGAAACGGCCGTTCTGCTTGGAGCCTGCTGCTGCCTGATATGTGACCAGCTGGGGAGCTTGGCCTTTCTTCTGCTGGTACCAAAATAAGCCATAAACGTTAGCTGCCTGGTATGTGCAGGTGGTCTGGAAGGTGTTTCTCTCCTGCACTGTGACCTGTCCTTCTTGCTGGCTGACAATGGTCTGCCCCACGGCACCTGGAAGAAGAAAGCAAAGGTGAGCAGCTCTGCAGGGAAGGTTCCAGGCTGCCACCATGGAATGGATACAAAACAGCAGGAGAGAAGGCTCCCTGTCCTTTGTCCAGCAGAAAGCTGTTGAGGTCTGGGCATATGAAGGTGGTTTTGGAAGAGCTCTGAGCTTCTGGTCCAGAGCAAATCCTGTGCTGTATCCCTGAGAGGAACATGGAACAGCTGTCATGGCTGTGGAGGGTGAGGGACCCATGGAGCTCTAGGGAAAAGATGCATCCTGGTTCCCCATCCTTGTCAACTTGGAGTGCTCCTAAGTCCCTGAACTATACACAGAGATGAGATACAGAGTGATGAGAGTGATATTTGGCTGTTCCTTTCTTATGGTGAGGATGAAATGTAGGACTGTAATCTCTGGGAGTGGGAGCAGGTGGGTCTGAAGAAAACAACAGAGAAACAAGGAGAGAGAAGGGCAGAGAAAAACAGGAGGGTCCTCAGGTCTCTCTTCTCCATCTTCCCTGTTGTCATTTCCAACAGCAGTAGTATTTTGAGAGATCTGGAGGAAAACCTCAAAAATCAGTCAGCATTTGCCCAAGGTTTATTGTTACTCAGGAGCTGTTTGCCACAAAGCCCAGTGAGGCTGGTGAGCGCTTTGTGGGGAGAAGATGGGTGCCTTGACTAAAAGCCAGCACTTACCCAGCAGTTGTCCCAGGAAGGCAGTGAGGACGAGAGAGCTGCGGTGCATGCTGAGACCGAGCCTCCTGTTTGTGAGTGAGCAAGAGGCAGAAAACCACCTCCCAGCCCCAAGACGACAGAGCTGCCGGAAATGACTCTGCTGGCTGCACAGGCAGGGCACTCACTGCCATAGCAACACCCACAGGTAACAACACCAGTTCTCTTATAAGCCCGAAGCTCAGAGCCAAGCCCTGTTCCTCCTCTCTGGCTAATCAGGACTGCAGTTCCCCAGTGGAAGCACACACCTTCACCCACTGGCTCACAAGCACTCCCACAATCACAGCCCATCAGTGTGAGCAAGGGCCCTCAGCTCATCCAATACCCCTGCCTGGAGCCTGGCATCCCTTACCCTGCATGTGGGTCTCCTCCTTTGCTCAGGATTGGCCAGTCTGCTGTTTGCTGGTCAACAACAAGTGGGTGCAGTCACCTACTTGTAACTCGCTTTAAACTGAGAAGGGACTTGATCCACAGCCTTCATGAGCCAGTAGCTGCCACAGCCAACACACCTTTCAGTGGCCTCTGCTGAAGCACCTCACTGCCAGCGGCCCTGAATCTTCTCACACAAATTCATTGTCTCAAAACAGTGCCTTTTTGCGGGCCACTTTGAGGTGTCCGTGACCTCGACATGCCGAGCTCATGAAGGTGTGCAGCTGGAACGCCTTTCTCCGGAAGATGCCGAGCGGTGCGAGGGACGCGTTCCATGTCAGCACTGCCAGCTCGGCGGCGCCGGGAGGGAGGAGCGGCAGCGCCCCCTGCGGGCCCGGACGGCACTGTGCCCCCGCCCCGCCCCAAGCGGTTCGTGCCCGGCCGCAGCCCCGGCTTCGCTTCCCGTGCGCCCACGGCGCAGTAATACAGCGCCGCGTCCCCGAGCCGGGGCCGGGCGAGACGCAGAACGCTGGAGCGGCGGTCTGCCGACACCCACAGCTGCCCCTCCGGGTCCGGCACCTCCTTGGAGCCTGTAACGGCGCTGACGAGGAATGTAGGGGCTCGGCCCGGTAGCTGACGGTACCATTGGATGTTATTGGCCTGTATGCTGGGGTGTGAGCAGGTGATGTTGATGCCGGTGCCCTCGCTGGTCTCTGCCGCCAGCTCCTGTTGTACCTGGGCTTTGCTCACAGCCGCTGCCGAGAAGAGAAGAAGAAGCAAACTCAGAAAATCCATTCTCTCCAAAACGCAAAAATCCCAAACCACGATTTTCATGGACGAGTAGAGAAGTGCACGAGGTCGGAGTGAAGCTGGACGGACAGAGGCTACAGCGGCCCGGCTCCCTCGCCAGCCCCGCAGTCCGGCCCCGCGCACTCAGGAGCACCGCGGCCAGCCCCGCCAGCCCCGGCTCTGCTCCGCCCGCGCCTCCTCCTCCCCACCGCCGCCGCCAGCTCCGCCCCGGGCTGCTCCAAACCACCTCGCTGTCTTTCGGATGTCCGGCAGTGGCATCTACAGACATCTACTCAAAAACACATCGTTGAAGAATTGAGTGGGGTACAATTTACCAGTAGTTCCCTGATTTCCTTTTCTCAATCTTTCCTATGTACGAGGACCATGCTTCAACTGTCAGAACTCCTGAGCAATGACAGAGAGCTGCATCGCAATGACATTACTCAACCAGAAACCACTGGATGCATCTTTTGTCATCTCATGCACAGAAGTATGCCCAATTTTCATGATGAAAATATAGGAAAAAGAAGCTTTCATTATGTTAGACTTAACTGCTCATTATTTCTGCTGTCTCATGGTCCAATGGACATACAATCTCCTTAGCTGTCTTTTTGCCACCAGATAGGACACTTTTCTCGCTATGCCTTCCCAGCAACTTTTCATCTCACATGGAGCTGTGGTCTTTCTGACGGCATCTCTGCATCCTCTTCTGAAGCTGCATGTCTGTGACTAAAGCAAGGGCCTCTTTCCTGTTCCAGGTTATCACCACCTTCCAGTCTCAACCATCTTAACTGTCTCTCTCGATGGCCTGTTTGCCATGGTCATGATGTGCCATGCCATCCTTGCTTTGTGATGTTCAGGCTCCAGTCTTAGACTGTAAATCAATCGACCATGAATCACTCTAAGACTCAAATTGGAGTGTCAGGAAGCAGAAATTCTTTATTTTTGGTGCTGGATGCATGGGGGATGAGCTCTACCTATCATGAATATGTCACACAAGAGATATGCAACTTACATTCATTACTAATGTTGCACATGCAAACATGTTCCCAGATGGTGCACAGATTTTCCATATTTCCCCACAAAATCATGAACAAAGGGTTCCACCTTGTCGCACGCGTTCAGCCTCTTTGTGATGGTGGTCCCACAGCCTTCTGCATGAAGTCAGTAATCTTCGTCACTGTGTTCACTGCATGAACCCTGTCCTCACCATTGCTCAGTTAGCTCCTTGCCTTGATCACACAACAATTGCATTCACAATATTAGCTGAATTGAAGTGGAACTTCCAATATCTACTTAATTCAAGAACTTAGGTAGATCATTGGCACAAGACCTCAGATTCTTCCTGTTTCCTAAACAGACTCCAGAGTATCCATCGAGGAGCATTGGCAAGCTGGACAATATTGCCACAACTTGTATCACTAGGAAAAATATAGACATATGTGAAGGTGGTCAAACACTGGATCAGGCTTCCTGTGGATGTGGATGATGCCCTGTGCTTGTCAGGGTTGACAGACATTTTGATAATGCTTTCATGAGCATGCTTTTCCTTGTGGTTAGCACTAACGACGTCAGAAACTTGAACCTGATGATATTTGAAGGTGCCTTGCAGTTCCTTTCCTCTCCATTAGCTCTGTTAGCAGGAAGACACAGATTAACAGAATCTTTTGGCATCCTGAAGTGCCCCTGATGTGACCAGAACACATGTTGTTGCATGGAACACACATGTCACACAAACAGCTGCTCATGCACATACGTGTGGAATCATGCAAAACCTCTGTACCCAGGCAACTGAAAAAATCCAGCACACAGGCCCTGGTTGTCTTTTCACACCAATGCCTGACTAATCACGTTGATATCTTTTGCCTCTTCTGGATTCTTCCAACATGTGAACCGAGTGTTCTGCCCACACTGATGTGCGCTGCCTGGAAACGCTTGGGTTTTTCTTCCTGCCACTCAACAGATGCCTTCCATGAGCAATGGGAGTGACATAAATCAGGATGTGAGAAGTAGCAGCAGAGGAAAAATAACACACAGTCCATACCATTAGCTGGGATGTTTTGCATTCAAAAGTTTCTTGTCATAAAATAATCACTGCTGCAAGGGATGCCTCTGGTAATGGGGCAGCTTGGGTCCACTATAAAAGCCAGCCCAGCTCCTTGCAACTCATCCACTTCTCCTGCCTCCTTCTTTCTGGGAACCAGGTGAGTGTGTGAAGATCCTTCCTTCTGCAAACAGAGTTTTGAGCTCAGTGGAACTCTCAGCTGTTATCAGCTGTGTTCCGTGCCTGACTCTGCTTGTCATGAGAGAGGTGAGGAGAATGTTTGTCATGAGAAGAGGGTAGGACTGTAAGGAGACGTCTTGTGGGCTAGGGTCTAGGTAGTAGCTGAATATGTTCCAGTGGCTTTCATTGGGCTCTGTCAGGATGAGACCAAGAATCCCATCGACATCCCTGAACTGTTTTCATTTCCCAGCACTGCATGTACATTGATTTCCTCATAGTGTGATGCTAGGCTGGTCCTCACGCATCCCCATGTTCTGTTTCCAAACAGGTGCACCTCCATCCCTGAGACATGTCCTGCTGTGACCAGTGCCAGCCGTGCCAGCCCTGCGGCCCGACCCCTCTGGCCAGCAGCTGCAATGAGCCCTGTGTCAGGCAGTGCCAGAACTCCACCATCATCATCCAGCCCTCTCCCGTGGTGGTGACCCTGCCCGGACCCATCCTCAGCTCCTTCCCGCAGAACACCGCCGTGGGCTCCTCCACCTCCGCTGCTGTTGGCAGCATCCTCAGCTCTGAGGGCGTGCCCATCACCTCGGGGGGCTTTGACCTCTCCTGCATTTCCAACCGCAGCTGTGGCAGAAGGTGCCCCCCCTGCTAAAGGTGCTGGACGCTGACCCAGACAAGGACCCCCGGAATGCTGAACATGGCACTGGACAGAAAAGGAGACGTGTTGCTGTTTTTACTCTGCAATACAGGCTCATAGTGAACAATGTGGCCACTCTGTTAACATGCAGAGTCTACTGATATACTTTGTTGCTCACTCTTCCTATCTGTTTTTTTTTTTTTTTTTGTTTTTTTTGTTTTGTCTTTTCCATTCAGAAATCTCTGTTAGTACCCCCAAAAATGAACCCTGGCTGGCTGCTCATCTCCCAGAGCAAAAACTCTGGGCTAGGAAGTATAGCTCTGTGGCAATGTAAAGGGGAATGAAGGGGAACAGATTCTTATCTGCTCCTGTTGCTCACAGCACACATGGCCTCTGCTTGGGGTGACATCATTTCTCTCCTCAGACTCATTAAACACTTTATGCATCCCTTAACGTTTCCTTCTCTGTTAGTGTTTGTTTGTTTGTTTGTTTTCTTTTCTTTTTCCTTTTTTTCTTTTCTTTTTTTTTTTTTTTTTTTTTTTTTCCCCATAAACAGAGAATGCTAAGGAAGAAAGGGATGTCTTTGATGGGAGCAAACTAGGGAGATTCCATCAGTCCTCTGGATTTTGGAGGTCAGTGTACAGTGCAGACCATCATTTTTTCAAGCACACTCTCTTGAAGGAGAGGAAGACATTGCTAAATGCTCCTCCATCACCAGTGACCATCAGTCCCTGCCTTGCTGTGTTTCTCCTCACACAGGTCTCCCTGAACACTGAGTGCATCAAGTGAATGGAGACCTCCACAAATGACACCCACAAGAGGGGATCTCTGTGCACTGGGGAGGCCCAGTGAAGACAGAAGTCCCACACGCTCTGGGGAAATCTATTCATCCTGCTTTGTGAGGAGCAGAGCTGGGGAATGAGACTCAGAGGAAGGTGTTCTCAAAGGCCATCAAGAACTGGGAAGGCATGGTTTATCTTGGGGTTGGCCCTCTGTCTCTATTCCACTTTCCCACGTGTCTCGCTGCAATTTATAGGAGGGAGAGGAGGTTATTTCAATATCTGTACACTGTGGGATGTGTGATTAAGAAACAACGGTTCAAATGTTGGTCCGACCAGTTTATTACAAATCTTAATTAGGGAAATTCAGAAGGGGAGGATGGACATTATTATGAATTAGGGTAATGGGAAAGGGAAGGAGGGTGATAGAAAAGATTGGAAAGAAGAAGCACGTAGTCTATGTAGGCAGCAAGAGGGAGACAGTCACCACCATGGATCCAGCGAGGTTCGTAGTTCAGTCTTTGATCTTCAGTAGCGGTGGGTCATCAGGCATTGCTGTTCTGTTGACAACGATGACAACCATGGCGATGATGGCCCCCTTTCAATGGTTTCAAAGCGGTCGAGTCAGCTGTCTTTGGAGTGACAGCTCAAATCCAAAGTGGTTGAGTCAGCTCTCCTTGGAGTGGCAGCTTCTGGCTCTGGGATCTCAGCAGAAACTCCTTTGTTCCCACCTTCCTGGCCTTGCCAGCAGGTAAGAGGGAGCAGGGAGGCACCAACTTGTATCTTGCCTTCACAGGATACAATGGCATCATCCCCCAGCCTCCCATAACAAACTGGAGTTACTGGATCAAAGGCTACATCGTCCTGTCTTCCGAAGGCAAACAGCTAAAATTGTCCACACAGTGATGTTGATTGCCACACAACAGCACTCATCACTCATCTTCTCGACAAGTCAGTCTTATCACAAGAAATACCTCAGGAAGCAAGCTTGGAGCCAAAAAAACAAAGAAGGATTCTCACACCGCCCTGTGGCTCAAAGATTGCTCGAAATGAAGCATAAGTGACCCTCCAGGTGGTGGGGAAAAAGAAAGGGAGAAAAACAGAGACAGCAAAGAAGCAGGAGGGATGGAGGAGGGGGAGAAGGGGA